AGGATGGAAGGAAAGGTGGTAAGCCTGGGAAAGCGGGTCCGCCCAGCCAGGCACCACTCTCGAACCACCCAACCGCAGGGAAAGGCCGAGACCACGAACGACCTCGCCTGGTCCCCTTGCGTAATCTAACTCCTCTTACCCATCCCGTCAGTGTCATTCTAAAGCAAGCTGAGGAGATGGGAATGGTAGAATTCCCCGAGGAGTGCATGAACGTCTCCTCAAAGGCAGACCAAACAAAGTACTGCAGGTTTCATAGGCAAGCCGGCCACGATACGGATGAGTGTCACGTTTTGAAGAGAGAAATAGAAGAACTCATCTAACATGGCTACTTCCTTCATTTCGTCAAGCGATCCAAGCAGCAGCAACAGCCGCAACACAATCCATCAAAAAATGTCTGGAGGAATGAGGATGGCACCGAGCCGTCCACCTCGAACACCAAAAAAAGAGACCACGACCAAATATCTGAGCAGAATGATAGTGAGAAAGAAACCGAGGTGGCGCCCATACGACAAAAGAAGCACACCATACACTTTATCTATGGTGGACCCGCAGGGGGCGACACGCCCGCGGAAAGAAAGAAGTGGAGCCGGCAGCTATACGTGGGAGAAGTGGTGAGTCTTCCTAGAGAAAAGAAACAGAGACAGGAGGCCATCACCTTCTCTGATGATGACCTTCCAGAGGGCCCGTTACCCCATCGTGACGCCCTGGTGATTAAGATGGACGTCAACGATGTCATGGTCCACCGCATCTTAATCGACACAGGAAGCTCAGTCAATGTGATGTATTACAATGCCTTCACCAAGTTAGGGATACCTAGGAACCAGCTCAAAGAAGTACGTACCCCACTCTCTGGATTTACGGGTGATTCAGTGGAGACAGAGGGGTCAGTGGTCTTACCAGTGGAGATAGGCACGAGCCCTAACATTCGCAAACTTGACGTAGAATTCATCGTGGTAAGACTCGCTTGTGCGCACAACATCATATTGGGGAGGCCGGCACTGGAGGACCTCAAGGCCATAGTGTAGGTGGAACACTTGTGTATGAAGTTCCATACTCCGAATGGGATAGGAGTCGTCAGAGGAGACCAGCGAGCAGCCCGCAGTTGTTACGTAAAAGCATGCAAAAAGATTGGCAGAAAGGATCTACAAGTCCACACCATCTGCAAGGATGATCGATCGGGTATGGAGCTCAGAACATTTAGTTAGATATTATTAGTAATACTTTGTAGTCGTGGTCCGCCCAGACCTGTGAACAATATTTTTTAATCATGGTCTGCCCAGGTTACTTTGCTCAAATAAAAGGTTCTCAACACCACCTTCGATCAACCAAAAGCCGGCTGACGCCGCATTGCAAAAAAAATAAAATAAAATAAGATAAAATAAAATAAAAAATAGAGAATCGAGTCCTCAGCCACGGGTTGGCCAAGACAAAACTCGGGTGGCCGAGGCATGCACCTCGGCCGAAGAGCCGAAGTCCGCCTCGGCCGAAAAAAAAAAAAAAAAAAAAGGCCGGGCAGCGCCTCAGCCACAGGCCGAGGCGCACGTCTCGGCCTTCTGGTCGAGGCGACGCCTCGGCCTTCTGGACAAGGCGACGCCTCGGCCAGATGGCTGAGGCCGCACCTCAGTGTGCGCCTCGGCTTCCTGGTCGAGGCGCACGCCTCGGCCACAAGCCGAGCCGCGGCGCCTCGATCCAAAAAAAAAAAGCCGCCAGGCGCACGACTCGGCCAGGCCGAGGCACGCGTCTCGGCCATTGGCAGAGGCACAACACCTCGGCCTAGGGCCTGAGGCGCACGCCTCGGCCACCGACTAAGGCAGCACCTCGACCGGGGGCCTGAGGCGCACGCCTCGGCCAGGTCGAGGCCCGAGTATCGGCCACTGGCCGGGGCGGCGCCTCAGCCTGTCCGTAAAAAAAAAAAAGAAAAAAAAAAAAGGCCAGAGCTCGCCTCGGCCACGATCGGTCGAGGCGATGCTTCGACCACGATCGGCCAAGGCGCACGCCTCAGCCACGGTCGGTCGAGGCGACGCCTCAACCGCGTCGCCTTGGCCACAGTCGACCGAGGCACACGCCTCGGCCACGAGCGGTCGAAGCGACGCCTCGGCCACGAACGATCGGCCGGGGTGCACGCCTCGGCCACGATCGGTCGAGGCTACGCCTCGGCTGTGATCGGCCAGAGGCACGCACCTCGGCCAGCCTAAGCCGTAGCCCGTCTCGGCCAGCATGCCAGCCTAAGCCGCAGCCCGTCTCGGCCATCTTAAAAAAAAAAAAAAAAAAATTCATGTGTGATTTGGAAAATAAAATCACATACTCGGGATCAACCGGGATTCTGCACGATATCAAGCAAATTCAGCCTTACTCCCAAGTCAACTCAAACACATCCGTAGACTCAGGAGTAGGGGGGCTGGTGACAGGATAATGGTGCTGGCACTCGACCCGGATCATAAGCAGTACCTGACCCGACACCATATTTAACCCGACATCGTGTGGAATTCCAACAGGCAGAACTCCAACGGGCAGAACACCAACGAGTGGAAACATTATGGCAATTCATTGCATTGAAGGGAGAGAATTAAAGCTGAGCGCCTCATTCATGATTCTTCATGCTATTGCCGTTAGCCTCAGCTCCCCAATTATGACACTTCATGTTGTTACCGTTAGGACTTAGCATAAATAGAACTCCCCTCATCTAGCAAAGAGGGAGGACACACTGTACTTTCTATACTGAAACAAAAGCAATACAACTATTGTTACTTTCTTATAACGTTATTATAGTATTATTATTACCGGTAACATTATTACCGTCAATTTATTTATTTATTTATTTATTTATAAACTTTATTGACAAAATCTCAGTCAAGTTGGTGGTTAAGTGAGAGTCATTTATTCGCTCTCTTGATTTGAATCGGACAATTATGCACAACTTAAGTTTGTTTCAGAAGTATATATGTTAGAATCTTGAGAAATTAAATGTTGGAATCTTACGGTATTAAATTTTCAAGTTTACAATAATTATACAATCAACCTTACTCTTAAAAGCTTTCAATAATTATAAAATTGACTTTGTATATTTTTAATAAAACCTTTGACCCATTGATGATCTTTCATGGAAGACTTAGGTCAAGTTGGGGAGAAGCTTGACGGAGAAGGCCGTTGACTTCTTTGTCAGATTGGGGACAAGCCAGTGGCTTCTCTGTTGGTGGAAAGTTATTTTTTTCAATATTAATTTTTTTAATTTCTAAATATGACTCTATGTAAACTGTCAAGTAAGCAAAATTGACCGGTCACCTTTTGATAACTTATTAAATAAATTAATTGCATAATTTTAACAAGTTAAGGGTCTAACTAATATTTTTTTAGTTCAATGGTCTAATTAAACTTTAGTATATATTTGGAGATTTGGAGGGAGTATTTGACCCTTATCTTTTTTTTTTTTTTTTTTTTTTTTTTTTTTTGGGCAATTCATGTTAGTTTCTAATGAATCTCAAATGAGAAAAACTAAAAGCAACACTTAAATAAATTTATACTTTAGGTTATTTAAGAGTTCATTTACTTTTTGTATAAATAAAATGAATGTGACAATAATCACAATATATATTATTAAAAATATTTCATTAAATTTTTTTGAATGATACTCCCATTAAAAATGTTAAGTGGGGCAACGATTCAGACTAAAATCATCCAAACAATTTGGCTAAACTATTCTTTAGAGGTAGCTTTGTTTGAATTCTCTAGAGATTGAGTTTTACACCATGGTGATAAGTCAAGCTAAGGGATTGAAAATGTCGTTTTCAAATATATCTAGCTTGTTTTGGATTTGGGCTTTGATTTATACGGAGTACTAGAGTAATACAATTGAATTTATAGGTTTTATTTAAAAAGTCTTCATGCATGGTATTATTTGACTTTTCATCTACCCACCGTAGATAGAGTGATAGTTGGTCAATCCATACTGTACAAAACAACAATGTTGTTCAACATATCCTACCAACGTAACTAAACATTGGAAAATTTTGACATAATTTTGATATACTAACTCTCCACCAAATTAAACACATTTGTGAATACTTAATAGCCAAACATATGTTAACAAATACGTTCATGAACATGTTCATTATTATTTGTGGACATGTTCGTTCACGTTTGTGAATGCTTAATAACCAAACATATGAACATGTTCATAATCACAATTCGTTCGTGAACAAAAAATAATATATGTTTACGAAAAATAACGAAACAAGTAACACAAGTACAAAGAGAATACAAACAAATATTAAACGAACACAAACGAGCTTGTTCGCCAACATTATTAAACGAACACTAAACAAGCTTGTTCGCGAACATTATTAAACAAACACAAACGAGCTTGTTCACGATCTCTTAACAAACGAACTTACAACTGTTTAGACTCTGTTCGTTTATAAACCGAGCTCTAAATTTTGTTTGTTAGTGTTCGTTTACCTTAATAAACGAACATAAACGAACGCTTACCGAACACGAATACGAGTAGTTTACCGAAAGCTCTGTTCGCTAATACCCTACTCACTGAGTACCAAATAATACAACACTTAAACTATGACCTTAACACCACCACAAAAGTTAACTTATTAAATGAGATTTAAACTCAATTTAAGTATTACTTTAACAATCACTCGTGGAGGTGTTTAACACCTTAGCTCTATATATATATATTACACCCATGACATTTTTTTTTACCATGCATGTATACTAGAACAATTGCCCAAAAGCTCAGAAATCAGCCTACACCCCCTTTCACCTTCCTCACCCTCCTCCTAGCTTTATGGCTACTCTATGCATATAGCTATTGATAAACATTAATGTGTACCACAGGTGGCCGACATAAATACATAATTGTGACAATACACGTTACGTACAGCTGTGACGCCACTTGGATGATGTCAGAATGACACACCCCATTTTGGGCGCCGATATTTCCATGCTATAAATAGCCATTCATTTTTTTTTTTTTGTTTTGAAAGCATAACCATTCATAAGTCATAACATTCTTAAAACTTCAAAAAAAAGAAAAAAAAAAGAAAAAATGGAAGCACAATATTGTGGTCATGTTCTGTTGCTACCATACCCGGCACAGGGCCACATTAATCCTCTGCTGCAATTCGCTAAACGTTTAGCCTCCAAAGGCGTTAAGGCCACCATAGCCACCACCACCTACACCGTGCAATCCATCCACGCCGCCGCCGTCACGGTGGAGCCAATCTCCGACGGCTTCGACGACGGCGGCTTCAGCCAGGCCCAGAAAGTGGACGTCTACCTCAATTCCTTCGAACAAAACGGCTCCAAGACCCTGTCCAAGGTCATAGCCAAGTACGAGGATTCGGCGTGTCCGGTGAACTGTGTCGTCTACGACGCGTTCTTCCCGTGGGCCCTGGACGTGGCGAGGCGGCACGGCGTACACGGCGCGGCGTTCTTTACCAACTCTGCCGCCGTTTGCGCCGTTTTCGCGCATATCCACTGCGGCAGCCTCGAGCTGCCGGTGGAGATTGAGGAGAACGGGGCGGCGTTGGTGCTGCCGGGGATTCCGCCGCTGTATGGGCCGGATATCCCCAGCTTTATCACGGCGCCGGATAGTTATCCGGCGTACTTGGCTATGAAGATGAGACAGTTCTCCAACGTGGGAAATGCTGATTGGATATTTGCCAACACTTATCAAGAATTGGAATCCGAGGTAAGTTTATAAAGCTATACAATCATGGTATTTGGATTCTATTTGGTAGAGTTTATTTTAAAATACAAATGAATTATAATTATAATTATTGAAAAAAATAAGGTGAGAATGAAATAGAAATTAAATTACATTGTTTGGTAACAAGAATTAAAATTACTTGAATGAAAAAAAAAAAAAAGAAATATATTTGACACAGAACTATCCTTCTCTTTTCTAATCTAAAATTAGTATTTTGTTTATCTGTTATCATAAGTATGATATTTTGGTCTTTATACTACTTATTCCTTTTCAACTTTATTCCATAGATACTAAACTTTTTTTTTTTTTTGGAAAACTATAGATACTAAACTTTAAAATTAAAATTCTCATTAATTTTATTCTTGCAAATCAAACACTAAAATTTTTATTTTTATTTTTTGAAAACTTCAAATGCTAGAATTTAAATTTTCACTATTTAATTCAGGCATAATTTTCCTCTTGTAATCAAATATCCTCATATTTCCTTTTTGACTTTTTCCCCAATAAAATATAGACAAGTGCGGGAATTTTACTCCCTAAGATACATTTATCATTTTCCTTATAAAACTATATAATCATGTTAATTACTTGGTGATTTTAAGACTATGTCACCGAGTTTTTTTTTTTTTTTTTTTAATATATAGTATCACAACATCATATCACATTATTTGGGAGAAGAATAAATCCTAAAGATCATAAGGATTCTCTGTTTTTTTTTTAACAATAAAAAAGGCAAGGGCATCTAAATGATTGAGTCTTGTCACACAAAAAGTTGGAATAATAAAATAGTGCTCCAACGTCAATGGGACAAAAGAAAAAAGCTATGAACTGTTTCGTACTATAAAAGAAAAATTGGGAAAAGGACCGGTTGTCATAAATTTTAGGAATATGATATTTTATGGTGTTAAATAACAATCATTATTGGTTCACCGAGCTCTGTGTATTATACTATCAAATAATGTATATTCAGTACACAAACTGTGTATTTTTAATATGTTAAAAATGTATATTATATTTAAAAAAAGTATATTATTTGAGTATTAAAAATATATTATTTTATATAATGTACATTTAATATACAACTAATGTATTTTTAATATATAAAATGTACATTTTGTTATCATCCATATAACACTGTATGTATCCATAAATCATTTGGGCAGGTGGTGGCAGGGGTGTCAAAAGTTTGGCCTGCCAAACTAATTGGGCCAATGGTACCTTCATCATACTTAGATGGCAGGATTGAAGGAGACAAGGGTTATGGTGCAAGTCTATGGAAACCCCTTGGTGAAGAATGCCTCAAATGGCTGAAATCAAAGCCAAATCAATCGGTAGTCTATATTTCATTTGGAAGCATGGTGTCACTATCCACTAAACAAATGGATGAAATAGCTTGGGCCTTGATAGCCTCAGAGTTGAACTTCCTTTGGGTTGTGAGGGAATCTGAGCGGAGCAAACTGCCCCAAGGGTTCGTAGACTCTGCGCGAGGAAAAGGGCTGGTTGTTTCGTGGTGCAATCAGCTCGAAATGCTGGCACATCCTGCCATCGGGTGTTTCGTGACGCACTGTGGGTGGAACTCGACTTTAGAACTACTTAGCCTCGGTGTCCCTACTGTTGCGATGCCGCAGTGGTCTGATCAGTTTACTGACGCGAAATTCATCGAGGAGATATGGAAGGTCGGAGTTAGGCCTAAGTTGGACAAGTATGGGATTGTGAATAGGGAAGAGCTTGTGTTTTGTCTGAAAGAAGTGATGGAAGGGGAGATGAGTGAAGAGATAAAGAGGAATGCAAGAAAGTGGAGGGAGTTGGCTAAGGGTGCGGTTAGTGAAGGAGGAAGCTCGGACAAGGCTATCAATGAGTTTGTGGAGCATTTGAAATGTTCTAAAATTGGTAAACAATTAAAACAAATACTTATGTAGTAAAATAAAGTGGCTAGTGTTATAGCTAGGCTCATCAAGTCGTGATTAAAGGTGGGTTTTAAGGTGTTAATGGACCAATTCCTCCGTCACTTAATGAAGATGCTTCAAGAAGTGCTTGTTAACATGATTTTTTTTTTTTTTTTTTATATTTTAGGTTTTCCCTTCAACAAATAAAAAACAAAAAAAAAAAACTCAAATGCTTAGTATATTTTAACGTGTTAGAAGTTTGTTTAGTCAATTGTTTAGCTAGAAGCCTAGAAAGATCACCTTCAGTTGTAAAATGCTTAAAATAATTTAATGGGAATTACATGTCCATGGTCAATGGTCAATTTGTATGTTTTTGATATTTTGTCAGACAAGATAAAGCCATTAATGTTTTATATTCTGATTGGATCTTTATGACTTAGATAGTTAGATATTTGTAATTTTCCTTTTCGTTTTTATTTTTCCCTTCAAGAAAAAAATTATATATTTTTAGCAAAATCATGAAGTTTATGTATTATATATAATACACCTTTTGCATCTGATTAAATAAGAGTTAATACCTAGTTTAGTCCTCTGACTATTAGCTAATACTTGATTTAGTCCCAAAGTATTAAACGTACTCAATTTAGTCCTCTTACTTTCAAAATCACACCCAATGTGGTCCTCCGATACAATTGCAGTCTATTCACCGTTAATTTGAGTGCATAAGCGTCATTTTAGTTAAGGCCAAACTTGTTTCTTCATATGCTCGCTGCTGCTCAGCCCAGAGGTATCTCCGCCGGTGGGAGAGCCATTCAACGTCAAAGGAGCACCCCCCTCCCCCCACCCCCCCCCCCACAATCGATTGGACTCCCTGAGCTACCTGTCTACTAATCCTAAGGGTTCCAGAATCCAATCTATTCCCAGCAGGCAGAGCATTCAAATTCAAACCAGAAAGAGCAAGGCACCCATTAACCCCATCTAGAAACCAGTTAAAGGCCCTGTTTGGTAAAATGGCTGTTAGCTGATAGCTGTTTGCTGTTAGCTGATTGTGTTAATTAGAGGATATAAATAGTTGATAACATTAGCTGATTGTTGAAAAGTGTTTGGTAAATTAGCTGTTAGCTGTTTGGTATAATTTCTTTTCTCAAAAAGCTAATTGAAAAAGTTGCTAGGAGTAGCTTTTTTAATTTTAGCCTTTTGGAGTTGCAAAAAGCTAATTAACCAAACATTTATATTGATATTTTAACTAAATCAAACAATTAATAATGGTCAAATAAGCCAAAATTGACCTATAGGCCAATTTTTTACCAAACAGGGCCAAAGCCTCAGCAGATAAAGTTTTTTTCCTTGTCAACCAAAAAGGGTAATTCATCTCCAAATGAATAGTTATTTATGAGATGGAGACTGTGGCTGCTTGAGAAATTTCTGAAGATGAAATTGAACTTCAGTTGTAAGCAAACAATTCACCTTGTTTCTTAATCACTAATTCTATTGTGATAAGCTCTCAATCCCATTCATCCTAAAGATGCTACCCTTTATGTCGCTATAATTCAACTGAATAATTTTGAAAGCAATGCATTCCCTGACTTCTCCAGAAAACTTCTAGCATCAGAGTATAAATAAGATGGTATAAATAGACAAATATAAACTATGAAAACTTGCATTCCCGGCTGAGTTATTAGCATTTGCGCCAAATTTGATCCGCGTTGTACCCTCATGAGCCTCAAGGAGCAGATGGTGTGGGACTGACGGCGGTACTGCGATTGCGGGGACTAGCTACTCCACTGCCGAGTGAAAGACGTCCACCAGGTGCGGTGGAAAACTTTTGAACAGCCGGCGAGCAGAGGAAGAAAATGGTTTGGCCTCAATTAAAATGACATTTATGCCCTCAAAATAACGGTTGATAGATGACAATTGTAACGGAGGACCACATTGGGTGCGATTTTAAAAGTAAGAGGACTAAATTGAGTATATTTAATACTTTGGGACTAAATCGAGTATTAGCTAATAGTCGGAGGACCAAAATGGGTATTAACTTATTAAATAATTACCATTCTGTCAAGCACTTTATGTTCAGATAACACCTATGTGACTCTCCTTGAGAGAAGGTCACAGGATCGAACCTCAGTGGTGGAGAATTGACTCTCTTTGTGCTACAATACTTAAAGAAAGTATAGAACAAATACTACCTTGTAATAGAGAGTCAATAGTGTTAAAAAAAATTACCATTCTTAGTATTTTGAGAAATTCAATAAAAAAAAAATGCCATACACAATATTATAACTTTGACTACTATATGGCATTCACATAAAAAATGTCACCACCTTTTCTATTATTTATAACAATTGAAATTTATAGAGATAAATGTCAAATAGGCCCTTCAACTATATATATGGCAACGTGAAATTAATTAACTCCACAAATATAACTAAAAAAGCTCTAATTAGACACTTTAACTTCTTATTTTTATATACAATTAAATTAATTAACAAGTTACTTCTAGGTAACTGGTAAATGTTTTTATTTTTAATTTTAAAAATTAATTAAAATTAAAAAAACATATTTTAATTTAAAAAAATAATTAAATTAAAAAAAATCCGACAACGGCTTCTCCATCCAACTGAACGGAGAAGCCTGCTTGGCTCCTCAGTCCAGTTGGACTCCGTTGAGGAGAAGCCAACAATCTTTTTTTTTTTTTTTTTTTTTTAATTCAATTTACTTGCTATTACTTGAATTTACTTGTAAAATGAGTTAATTGCATAAATTTAAGAAGTTATTGGTTAAATTGCATAAAAGTGAAGAGATGAAGTGTTTAATTGGAATTTTTCTTAGTTTAAAGAGCTAATTATACTTCAAAAGGCTGAACCCCAACCCTAAGGGTCCCCGACACCCCGACCTGACAGAGAAGATAACTAATTATACTTTGACCTATAATTGAATGACCTATTTGACCCTTATCACAAATTTTTATTATTAAAATTTTCAATAAATGTTAAACTTTCAAATAATTAATCACACACTATTTAATAGGTCATGTGACGTAGTAAATTATTTTTTATTTTCTACAATTTTAATTTCCAAATTATAATACGTAGACGGTTAAATAATATATGGTAGCTCCAAGTCATTAGTCTAGTGGCGCAAATTATGCTGTGGACTCGTGTCCACAATTCATTATGGACACGAGTCCAAAACGACGTCGTTTTCAGGGAAAACGCGGCATTTTAGTTAACAAAAATTTTGATTTTGTCTCGCCGTTAACGGCGTTATTCGTTTGTAGCATTATGAATGTACAGTTATGGAATTATGAATGTACAATAATGAAATTATGAATGCAAGTTATGGAATTATGAACACAGAGCTCTGACATTATGAACTTATAATTATAAACATATAGCGATAAAATTATTAACATAGAGCCCTAAAATTGTAAACATAGAGCTTCGAAAATTATGAATGTACAGTTATAGAATTATGAATGTACAGTTAGGGAATTATGAATGTACAGTTATAGAATTATGAATGTACAGTTATGGAATTATGAATATACAGTTATGGAATTATGAACACAGAGCTCTGACATTATAAACTAACAATATGAACATATAGTGATAAAATTATGAACATAGAGCTCTAAAATTGTGAACATAGAGATTCGAAAATTATGAATTTACAGTTATTGAATTATGAATGTACAGTTACGGAATTATGAATGTACAGTAATGGATGTATGAATGTACAGTTATGGGATTATGAAAACAGAGCTCTGACATTATGAACTTACAATTATGAACATATAGTGATAAAATTATGAACATATACTCCTATAACGAAGCGGGCTGAATTTTTTTTTTTTTTTTTTTTAAAAAAGTGGAAGATAACTGATAGTACTAATACCCACGTGTGAGCGGTCTACGTATTAGGTGAGATCGGATAATAATGATAAACGGTTATTTTATATATAAGAAGGTGACCTAATTACAATCTAAATGGCTATCCCGAGGGCCGACTGACTGCGGTCGGGCAGCTCTGTAAATAGCCTATTGATCGTCAAAAAGTCCCCCTCACTGTAGCCGCCGCGGATATTTATAGCCGTTAGCCGGGAACAACTCTCCGGGCTACCGGCGTGTAATTCACGTAGCCTCCACGTGCCCAAACCTGGTGAGCACTCTCTGTCAACGCCTATCGTCGCCACGTGCCCCTCTCCAAAGATACGGCCTCTCCGTAGAGCAAAGGTACGGCGATCGGGCAGAACAGCGGTCGGGTCCGACCGTCCTCAAGCAGGGACGCAACATAAACGCACTCGGATGACCGGTACCGACCAAAAGCCTATAACGATGCTCGGGTCAAGGATCTCACACGTAATCAGTACGGAGAACATTTTAGGGCGGTCGGGATATATCCTATCAAGAGCCCCCCAGCCCGGGACGTTTTAGCCCGCTCGGGAGAAAAACGACGTGGGATGAGAAGATTACGTCATCCGGGCCTCCGGCCCCGACCGCCCAGCTGTCTCCTCTCACGCCACGTGTTGGGCTGCAGGCGTCTTGAGATCTGAAACGGTCACTTCGTGCAAGTGGGCAATTTTCCGCCAAAACTTTTCCTATAAATAGCCCCTTCTCAGGTCCATTTCAACTTTTACCACACCGTGGAAACTGACAGGAGCTTCCCGACCAATTAACACTGTAGATCGATTGGCTTTTGCATCTCGCTCAACCGCTCAACAAACTTCACTTGATCGGTAAGTCCTTTCTTCAGCTCTCTTTATTTTATTTTCTTCATTTTTACATAATGCTTTCTTCTACCGATCCGAAACTCGGTCGGTTAATCCCGACCCCCTCCGCTGAACCGACCCTCTCCTCTATAAAGGGGATATGTCAGATTCGCACAGCCAGAACGTCTCGGGGGCCGACTACGACCATACGATCGAAGACGGCAGCGAGGAAACAATGATCGAAGAGTCCTCCCCCAAGGTTAATAACCTCGTCTAACAACGAAGAACGGTTCCGGAGCCAGCAGAGGACTCCTCGAG